AAAAAAAACCTTTCAGCTTTTACGAACAAGCCATTACAACTACACTCACTGGCTATTTCATTAGCTACACGCCCCTGGTGCTGGTCTATTGGATCAAGACTTGGTTGATGCTGTTTGAATAGAGTGAACTGACTGTCGTGTTCAAAGAACCATTTTGAGATGATTTAAGACTTGGCATCACCTTTTCCTGCTTTTCCTTTTTTTTGTTGGACTATCCTCTGTAAACCATAGAGGTGGTTGTCTGGGAAAATTCCCTTATATCTGAACAACCAGTCATTTAAATGGCCTTTGTTCCCTATTCTGACCCTTGGTTTGAATCTCAGTAGTGTCTACTGAACTGTTGCCATATAATTCGCTGGTTAGACTGTAGTGTTCAACAGTCATACCTAATAAAGTGGCCAGTGTAGTTGTAAATACAACTCTTCAACATTTTAATAATCTCTGCAACAGGATTTGATAATTTTCTTTCCTGCACACAATATCAAAACGAATCTCTATGAATCTCAGACTGTCAGACAAACCATAATTTGAAAATATTCCTATGGTCAGTGGGTTTAACTGAGAAAACTTACAAACTGAAAGTGATATTTAAATTCCTTGCTGTCTTTCTCTTTAAGCATCTGATCTGCTGACAACAAGTAATTGTGACAATACTACTACGTGCAACATATACAGCCAGTCTCTAGCCACATAGACATAACGTGATTATCTGAAACAGTTGTGTCCATTTTATTCAAAATTGCAGATCAACACACCAGTGCCTGCCCCGCTGTATTTTTACTGGATTAATTCTCAGATTATGAGTGTGCATCGGTTTTGTTGGAAAACATAATTACACACTAATCGATATATATTTTTAAGTGTCCATGCTGCCTGTCCCTCCACCCAGCAAGGGGACAACGATACCCCATCACCTTTTTAAGGCTGAGGAGTAAAACCTTAAGTTTCCAGCAACTATAAGGCATTTTAGAAACCTTTTTTTCTAAATGTTCCACGATTACTGTGTCCCCATTAAAAATGAAGACATGCATAATATTTTACAAGACAGCACGATAGTACTACATCTTCATAAATATAGCTTCGTAAAATGAAAGTAGCAAAAATAAATGTGCATTCATAGTGTGCTACTTTTTCCACTTCTGCTTCGGGCCAGTGTTTTTAGAAGTTATCTCACCACACCACTACCATCGTCTTGTGCGTGTCCTTCAGTACGTCCATGAAATTCCTCTGCGGTCTTCCCCTTTTACAGCTCTAGTATCAGCATCCTTTTTCCATTATATCCACCATCCCTCCTGTGCACTTGTGCTCCTTTTGTGCTCTTCTCTTCAAACCATCTCAGCC